TTTTATGTCTTGATCCTTTAACTAACTAAAACCAGGCAAACACTATACAGTTGGTCTAAGCTGGGTCACGGTGGGTAGATTGGTGAGGTTTGTGATGCAGGTAGCCTGACGGTCCTGGGCACTAGCTTCCTAATTCTCATTCTGATCTCTTTCTCGATCCCGTGGCTTTGACTTAGGATCAATTGTTGAGTGTTTGCCCCAGCTTTCAAAATAAGTCAATAGCTCTCATTGTAGGTTTATGATCAAACGTAATGTTACAATTACGTGTGATCTGACATTTTGATGCAAATAACGCGTTAAGTTGACACGATATTAACGAAATCTCAATTCTGCGTTGCATTTCATGGCGAGTGTCTATTGTTAATTTATAGGATGCACAATTAATTTTCAATTTAATAATTATTCTTGATTAATATACATATTGTGTGGTTAATTGTGTATTAATATTACTCTTATTATGTTAAGGTTGTAGAGGTTACAATATTAGACAGTAATGGTAGGAGGTAGTAATAGGTCATTAGATAATGGTACACTATTAAGATAACTTGTCTTACATTGTGTATACAATATAAGTTGTAGGTATAGGTAATATGGTATGGTATTAAGATAGGAATGTATTTGTATATAGCAAGGTTAATATGGTATAGGTATCATTGTGTCATATTAAGGTTCATAGGTTAATAAGTTAATGTAGGTATAAATATAATGGTATGCTGTTATAAGATGAGAATGTACTTTTATAGCAAGGTTAATATGGTATACATGTACATGTAGGTATCATTGTGTAGTTTAAAGGTCATAGGTATAGTAGTAGAAATTAGAAGGGTACAGGTTATATAGTGTAGGTAGTAGTAGAAATTATAGGAAACATGTAGTTATACCTAGGATATAGGCTATAGTGTAGAAATTAGAAGGTAGTTATAGGTATAGTGTAGGTATTGTAGTAGAAATTAGGAAGCAGGTATAGTTATCATTAGGTTATAGTATAGGTATTGTATAGTAGAAATAGAAAGTAGTTATAATAGAAACTAAGAAACAGGTAGTTGTAGGATACAGGTTACATAGTGTAGGTATAGGTTATAGATCTAGGTTTTATTATTTATTATTATTATTTTTATTTTATTATTATTTCTTATTATTTATTATTTTATTATTATTCTATAATTAAATTTATTTTTTTTGTTGTTTATTATCATTTATTATTTTTTTTACCTGGGGCCCCAGGTTTTTTTATAATTTTTGGGCAGCAATGTAGTGCCGCCTCCACGTGGCACTGCCTGGGATCACTAGTGGCTACTACTGCTAGTGATGCTAAGAGCACTACATACAAGAAGAATAGATACTAACAGTAACTATGTATGATGAATTACATTCCATTTAGTGTTGTGCAGTACTCTATTTTCTGTTTTAGTTCTAGTTTTAGTTCTACCAACTACTCCATTTCTAGTTTTAGTTCTAGTTTTAGTTTTACCAGTACTCCATTTCTAGTTTTAGTTCTAGTTTTAGTTCTACCAGTATTCCATTTCTAGTTTTAGTTCTAGTTTTAGTTTTATCAGCAATCCATTTCTAGTTTTAATTCTAGTTTTAGTTCTACCAGTACTCCATTTCTAGTTTTAGTTCCAGTTTTAGTTTTACCAGTACTTCATTTCTAGTTTCAGTTCTAGTTTTAGTTCTACTAGTACTTCTGTTTTAGTTTTAGTTGTAATTTTAGTTCCATGCCAAATTCTGATTCTGCATGGCCTTATAGTTCTAGTTTTAGTCCTACTAATACACCATTTCTAGATGATTTTTATAATTTTTTAATGAAATTTAGTTTTAATAACTTAAAAGGGTAGCATTTTAGTTCTAGTTTTAGTTTTAGTTATTCAAAAGGGTACCATTTTAGTTCTAGTTTTAGTTTTAGTTATTAAAAGGGCTCCATTTCAGTTCTAGTTTTAGTTTCAGTTATTAAAAGGGTAGCATTTTAGTTCTAGTTTTAGTTCTAGTGATTTACAAGTGCACATTTTAGTATTAGTTTTAGTTTCAAGTTCTTAATAGCAAAATCTTTAGTTCTAGTTTTAGTTCCAGTGCTTTAATTTGTCAAATTCTAGTTTTAGTTCTAGTTTTGGTTTTTTGTATCAATGTAGTTCAGTTCTAGTTCTAGTTCTTGGAACTAGAACTAGGAAAAAAATAGGTGTACTAAAATAGATTTAGTTCTAGTTCCGTTGGAACTAGCACAACACTAATTCCATTGTTAGGTTAATGACAATAAGAGGATAAGTACAATTCTCTGCTATTGAAGACTACATTGAGAAGTATTCTAAGAATAGTATCACTGCATTTTATATTGATGCTGTCATTGCTATAGGTTGTTGGTTAAATTTGAAGCTGTACTTACATTAAGAAGATTATGAAGATGTGAAGAATTACTTTTTTAGTATTGTTTTTGTTCTATGTAACAATTTCTTTGTTTATAACTATTTCAGCATTTTTCTTCTTGTTCAATACACAATTTCTTCTTTATCAATCATTGATTATGAATTTTGATTATAATTATTGCAGGACCAATGAAGAAATGGTAATAAATCAATCTGATATTGTTATATAGTCCTTAGTTCAGAGTCTATAGATCTTGAGTAATATGAATGAGATAGTAGTTCAGGTCCACAGCCTATAATAAATAATAAATGATTAAGAATAATATACATTATCAATGAACATAAAGTCTAATATTAAGCGATTCTAACATAATCAACAAAGCAACAAGCAAACAAAGCAAAGGCATGTAATGATAACATTTGGCCATGGCTCATGGTTTTTTCTAAAAAATGGCTCCAAAATCATTCCAAATTTTTATTACATTTTCTGATACATATTGATGTCCTTATGCTGTGTAGAAAGTTTGAGCCAATCCTGACAAATATTTTTAAAGTTATTACAATTTTTTCCAAAAATATTACCTCCTGAATATATCCAGTACAGCTGCTGTCTTCATGGCACTCAGTCCTGTCTTTATCTCTTTGACCTCATCTTCACTCATCAACTGATCATCAGTTTTTAATACTGGAGGAACATCACCTGTGGAGAGCTTCCTCTCAGCCTATTAATAAAATATAATATTTATATAATAATTATTATGCCCTTTCATTACTTATTTCTGTACATCTCAGTGTGATCTTTATGTTTTTATAATATGAAGTGTTACTATGATTATCATTCACCACGATAAAATCTGCCATTTTGAGCAATTATACGCGTGCTCAATGGCACGTGGCCACGAATTTGCCAATCACCAAAATTTAGCAATTCACCAAATTCAACTCCTTCCAAAATTTCCCGCTATACAGTAATACTACATCTTATTAGTAAATTAGCTGATCAGTCGCTATTATAAAATCTAACTTGCTTTTATATTTTATTAAAAATATTAGAATACAAAAAATAATCATTTCAATAAACAACAAGTTGGTTATTATTCCAATCACAAACATACAATAATCCATATTTATTAAATGCTAATCCACAAGGATCATTAAACTGATCAATATTACTGCCTAATCTTCCAAACTTACTAACAAACACACCATCACTAGTGAAGACTGATATATGATGATTCCATGCTTCACTAACATACACTAGACCAGTAGCTGCAGTGTCTATTGTTATACCTACTGGATAACTAAGCTGTCCAGGACCAGATCCTTTAGTACCAAACTGACCCACAAACTTTCCATCTACAGAGAACTTCTGAATGCGATTATTACACTGATCAGTAACATACACTAATCCTTGACTGTCAATAGCAATGTCATATGGAGACTGAAACTGTCCATTAGCTGATCCTCCACTACCAAATGAATGAGAGAAGGTTAGATCAGGATTCAAGACTTGTACACGATGATTATTAGTATCAGCAATATAAACCTGTCCTGTTATAGGAGAAATGGCTATACCACGAGGATCATTGAATTGTAGTGGTCCACTGCCCTCCTCACCAGCTGATGCTATAAGGTATCCATCCATGCTTATCTTCTGGATCCTGTCACTATCAGATACAAGAATGAATTTGTCTGGAGAAATGGCTACACCACGAGGACCAAAAAACTTGACATTACCACTTCCTTCTTTCCTTCCTAATGATTTCACTTTCTTTCCTTCTCTATCCAGTATTGTTACACAGTTACCATCATTCTCAGTTACTATAACATGATTATCATCACTTACAGCAACTCCCCAGGGACCCTTAAGCTTAGGTATAGTACGTACTGGAGTGATGTTATCAAGGTAAGGATTGAAAGGGATGACTAGTGAGGTATCCTCAAGGTGTACATCATATACTTGTACTTTTACTGTATGAGTACCACGTGTTGAAGGGTTACACTGTATCCTATACACTCCAGGATCAGTGCTGGTGGTAGTGACTGTAGTGTCAATGGGTTTATGGCCTTTACCAACTGGTACTAGACTACACCTCAGAGAAGAGAGGGGAACACACAAAACAGATGAATATGGTGCCTCCATTGATAGTGAAAACGAAGCTGCTTTGCTAATACCATCAATCTTCTTCACTCTACACTGCTGTAGTGCAGTAGCTCCTGAAATAATATCTCCAATGTGATGTAGTGATTTGATATCTTTACTCAATACAAAGTCACCTTTTTCCTTTGGATGTAACTCCTCCACATTGATCCCTCCAGTAACTTCACTCATACGCTCCATCATCTGTTTCTTAGACCTCAGGACTTCTTGAGGACTGCCTGTCTTCAGACTCTGTTCCACATAATCCTCAACATCCTCCAGAACACTCAAAATCA